ATGCGCAGATGAGGATGACGTCGTAGTTGAGGAAATGTGCTGGCCAGTTGAGTTCCTCTTGATCTTCATCTTGATGCATTTGTTCGGCTGCTGCTGACTCGCGCTCCCTGACGTCATCTCGTGACCGGAAAAGCTGACCGCGCTGTAGCTGACCGATGATGACGACGACGATGACGATGATGGCATTGATGATGAAGAGAGCGTTGATGATGATGATGACAGTTGAGGTGCTTGTTGGTATGGTGATGGCAATGATGATGAAGATGATGGCGTATGCGATTGTAATAACGATGATGATGGTGATGGCGCCGATAATGATGATGACGACGATGATGGTATCGTCGACACTGATGATGATGATGTTGTTGTTACGGCGTAAGATGTTCGTTTGTTGTTTTTATTTGTCGCAAAAGATGTCGTTGTAGACGATGATGATGACGACGACGACAATGACAACGACGAAGACGAGATGACGTCAGCAGCCGCTAGACTCATTTTTGACGATTTCTTTGCAGTTAAGTAAGCGACGCCGTGATTCTTGCTGCTGTTAATGGAGCTATCCAAATTTTGTTGCAGTTGTTGTTGTTGCTGCTGCTGATGTTGTTGTTGTTGTTGTTGTTGGGTGTTGATAGTAGTCTTTTTAGGTGAGGCGACTTCGTTTTGTTTCGTATCGTCTGCGTCGGCCAAGCCGCCAAGATCAATCACCAATCTTTCCGAATCGTCGCAATCTTCAGTGTCCGATGAATTGTTCTGCGTGTGGGGAATACGACGATGATGATGATGATAGTGATATTGGCGACGATCATGATAATGATGGTGATGTTGGTGATGATGTTCATGGTAATGATGGTGTTGTTGTTGGTGACGATCATGGTAATGATGTTGTTGTTGGTGGTGATGATCATGGTAATGATGTTGTTGTTGGTGATGATCATGGTAATGATTGTGTTGTTGGTGATGATGATAATGATGTTGTTATTGGCAATGATGATGATAATGACGGTGATGATGGTGTTGTGTTGGTGATGATGATAATAAAGTTAGTGGTGATTGGTGTGATTGGTG